TGTCTGAACAGCTATTAAAACTGTTAAATTGTACAGATATTATCCATGACAGCTTTGTACTGTGGAATGTGCTTAATAAAAAACAAAAAGTTTGACCTTTGTCCAATAAATTGCTAAGTAATGTCAATAAATCAAGTATGAGTATTATGCAGTACACCTGATCTGGCTTCATGCAATTGTTATTTCAGCTACTAATTCAAAGCCAATACTGTTTTAATAAAGTGTTGCAATACTGTGATGTTCTGTTAAGAAATTCCTGCCCCTCCCCCCAAAAAAACCTGTTAACATGCTGTCAGTAATTCAGTGACATACAATTAAAGTTTGTAGATTAAAAACAAAAAAGAGAAAGAAACATCTGCTCTGTACCACGAGGTTGAAGGCAAAGCACTCTTTTTTGGCCTGTGAGAACTGGTATGAGATAATGCCTGTCCCTGCCCAGGGACCTTTTCCTGAAAGCTGACTTTAACCTCAGGAACTGGAGGCTGGTTCAAACTTCCTCCCCAGCTAATTTGCTTCCTACAAGTGCTTAATTGCTTCAAAAGTTACTGTGAGAATGGTCCCTTAAATGTGCCCAAGGGCTCAGAGTGGGAGTGGAGCCTCTGAATCCAGGGGGTTGGGGGGCATGTACAGTTAAGTTGCAGCCCTTTAAGGGACATGGAATTGTCTCTCCTTCTGACAGACTGACACATTACTGAGGACTAAAGCAGAAGGAGTACAGTTAGTATCTTCAGGATTCTGCTCAGAAATCCTGAGTAGTTGTGGAGTTGTCCTGATAGCTCGATTCGCACCAGCCTTTAGTCAGCTCAGTTGTTTATGTGGACTTCTTTGAGATGAAATTAGAGTAATTCTACACAGCTTTGCTCCCACTCATTTTTCTTGTAAATTTTTTTTTTAAGAATAGGTAGTACACATATGATTGTTGTGGTTTAGTCACTAAGTCGTGTCTGTCTCTTAGGCGACCTTGTGGACTGTAGCCCACTAGGCTTCCATGGGATTTCCCAGGCAAAAATACTGGAGTGGGTTGCCATTTCCTTCTCCAAGGGAATCTTCCCAACAAAGGGATTGAACCCACGTCTCCTGCATTAGCAGGCGGATTCTTTACCTCTGAGCCACCAGGGAAACCTATGCATGTGGTTTAAGAAAGCCAATTTACAAGCCATAAAAAGATAGTGTATGCAGTGGTTTTCCCTTTCACTCTTGACTCTCAGTCCTCCAATCCTTACTGACCATTTTTTGCATATCCTCTGACAGATAGTAATCTGTGCATAGAAGGGTGTGTGTATGTATGTGTGCAAATGCCTTCATACCTGCTGTCCCCATGCCCTGAAATAGTTGGGGTAGCCTGCTATACTTCACCTGTTTCATCTAGTATTGGGATTAGCCTGTGTCAGTACGTGTAATTCTACCTCATTCTTGCTGATGGTTGCGTACTATTTAGTTATAATGATATTCTATAAGTCACTTAGTTCCTTGAGGCTGATGTGGTTTCTTGACTTTTCCTGTAATGACTCTTGTTTATCACAGGTCTGTATGTCCCTGCCTGTACTAAACACTAAACAGGATAAACTATTCTTGGTGACTTGGACTAGTCGTTACGAACAGCAGATGTTGAACCCAAACTGTGCTGCGGAGTGGGCAAAGGCTCGGCTGTCAGACCAGATCTTCACCCCTCTAGCTGTCTTCTGTCCTCACACATTGGTGCTCAGTCACTGCAAGACAGTGAACACTAGTTTTCTTTTATCCTTGATAGGTGATGTTACTGCAAGAAATTCACGCTATGAATGCGTGGAAATTCTCAGGTTTCATAGAACTCCTTGGATATACAGTCAAGCTAAGTGGTGCTTTGCCATTTCAGCCTATTTGTTTTCTAGTTAATAAGGAAAAAGGAGGTTGGGCCATCTGGCTGATCATCCTGTTACTGATTAGCTGTGTGGCAGTACCCCTTTTGGATCTCCACTTCCTCATGTATAAAAGGTTTCATTAGCTCAATTCCTGGAGGACATGACGTGCACCAGCTCTGAATGACCTGTTGCAGGAATGCAAACATAGTGATGCCTCATCTAAATTTTTAAGAAGAACTGAAAATCCAGATTATGAAGAGACCCATAAGTCAATCACTCAAGCACCAGTTTGCTATCTCTGAATTAACACCATCTTAAGCATTTTTAGCAGTGACCTGTTGAGGCATTGCATCCGAGATGGCAACAACTCTTGAAGAATGAAAGAGATTCCAGAGAAAAGGAACAAATTAATGATAAGCTTTTTGGCACACAGTTTGGTTGGTTAATGAAAAATGACCAAAAAGGGGGAAGTGTTCAAAAAGACAGGAGAAGGAAGGAGCCAGGAGCTGGCAGCACTGTCTTCAGTCACATTTAACATCAGAGGTAGCATGCTCATACTTGCTACATATGTGCATACCAGCTGCCTGCTTTTGTGTTGGGGTTGAGTTCGTGCTAAAGCAAGGCAGAACTTAGGTCTAAGGTCGACTTGGTCTTCTAACTGGGGAAGCCTTTGGGAGCTCCAACATCTCCCAACTCTGTCTGTTGCTAACAGACTAACACCTCATAGACTGTCAGCATCTGTGGGATAACAGAACAGGGCCATCTTCAGGTGTGTACTTGCCCAGATGCGCTGAAATCCTCGTTCAGTGGTGTAAAATTTTTATCGGTTGTGTGAAGCTGTGTGGAAGAAGTGTGGTGCAGCTCAGAAGTAATTATTTCCTCTGTGCGCGCAGGGCAACCTGGAAAGCAGACTGTCCTGTAAGTGGATTTGTCTTGTTCCATGGCTTTCAGCCTGTGGCCATCTGCTTATCCTGTGTCCAGGAATTGCTTGATTATATTTCTCAGAATAGACATGCTGTTGGTGGGTTGGCCTGGCAGAACTGGGAAGTAACCATGCCAAAGACTTAATCTGTGGTGGGCATGCCTTAGGAACAGCTCAGAGCTGACGTTCTGGGGGAGAAGACCTCAGCGACTACAACTTAAACTCTCTCCACCCTTTTCGGATCCAAGGGACCTTTCTGTGCCCATGGGCTGTGTTTGTTCTCCCAAATACCCCTCAGCTCTAGTGATTGGGAAGAAATGCTCTTAGAACACCATGGCCTTTGGATCTTGATGAAGACCATCCAGGGAGGGTTACTGGTCTACTGGATGGCAGGGAGGAAAGAAACATGAGCTTTGGGGCTGGCAGACCTTGCTCGAAACCAGACCTCTGCTAGCTAATTTGACAGCAGGCCCCCTGGGCAAGGGCATTTCCTGCCCTGAACCTGAGCTGCTTCATCTAGGAAGTGGAGACAGTATTTTAAGATCACTATGGTTTATATGACATAATCTCAACTGCCTAACACAGTGCCTGGTACATAACAGGTTTTTGATGCCAGCTTTTTTTGGTAGCTTCAACTGTGGCATTTAAACAGATGGTACAGCATTTCCAGAGCAAAGTATAAAGGTTAGAGTTTAGGAAGGTGTGATGTGAGACAAATTTAAACGTGCACAAGCAGACTGAGGCCTATCCGGGCCTCTTGAGGGGGAAAGATGAGGAAGTATGTGGACTCCCCGGTGAGGACTGGCTCTGATGAGGACTCGGGCTCTTCAGTGGGTGGAACAGAGAGAGATGGACCAGTCAAATCGTGTTTCTACCAAGTTATTTTTGTTAATTATTTTTTTTTTTATTAAGAATAACTCAGCTTTAAAAGCCTGTCCTATCTGCCAGGGATATTTCTGGAAAAAGGAGGAGACCTCAAGATGCCAGTATCCTCAGCTTGTTGCAGAGTCTCCAAGGAGACAGGAGACAGTGTACCTGTAGGTGGTGGGACTGAGGGGAGTGGGTGATGTAGGGGAGAGAGTGGTTAATACCAACCACAGCACAAATGAAAATCACCACCATTGGTGAGTGCCAGGCCTGCTGGTAAGCACTTTCATCTTGATAGTACCCTGTGTGATTATATCATTACCATTTCAGAGCTGAAGAAACTGAAGCTCAGGTGTCTCACTAGTGAGCCCTGGGCTTGACTCCAGTCTGCCTTGGCTGGAATCTTTTGACTGACCTCTTAGCGCACTGCCTAGCCTCTTCCTCTCGGTGGACACCATGATGCCAGCAGTCACCCTGAGGAGCCAGGCCTCACACTGTGCAGTCCCCGTGCACTAACAGACAGACCCTCTGCACAGCTCTTTTCCTGCTCACCCATGTGTCCCTGGCGTCTCTGGTCACTAGCAGATGTGCGTGGAGTGCCTTCAGCAATGCACAGTGTGTGGGGAGTGCATGGAGCAGGATGGGATGGGGGCCGTACCCTGGGGCCAGTGGGCAGCCACTGGGCGCGTCCAGTTAGAAGGCCAGCGTCAAGATTCCAGAGAGACGGGTTGAGGCCTGGACTCGGGGCAGAGCACTGGGCAGTGGCGAGGGGCATTGCTGGCGTGTGCTCAGTTGCTTCAGTCCTGTCTGACTCTGCGACCCCGTGGACTGTAGTCTTGCCGGGCTCCTCTGTCCACGGGGTTTCCCAGGCAAGAACACTGGAGTGGGTTGCCATGCCCTCCTCCAGGGGATCTTCCCCACCCAGGGATCGAACCTGCGTCTCCCGTGTCACCGGGGAAGCCCTGGAAGGATATTGAGGAGACAGAGATCTGGATGGGAAGAGGAGCTGGAGCTGACAGTGGCCCTGTTGTCCTGTGTGGGTGTGTCTCCGACGCGCCACCAGGTGCCGCTCTAACAGATGTAAGCAGATGTGGTGGTCCTTGCTCTCAGGAAACTTACAGTCCCCGAGAAGAAACGGAGGACCCACGGCAGTGGGTACATACATTCAGGAATTCACAAGATACATTCAGATCCTGATAGATGCTCTGAAGAGACCGCACAGGGGGCAGTGGCCTGGGAGACACTCGAGCCAGGGCCTCAACGATAGGTGGCAGGAGCCGGCCATCCAAGGCTCCAGGCTGGGTGGGCGGAAGTGCAGAGGCCTGGAGGCGGGAAACCCTCACAGCCCCTGCACCAGGCTGGCCGGTGGGATGCTCGGTCCCCAGGTTAGCGGAGGAGGAGTCCGGCTGAGAGAGTGGAACAGAGTCTGGAGGCACAGTGCAGGTGCCCGGGAGCTGTCCGGGCGGCGGCAGAGAGAGAGGCCTGCCGCGGCGTCCGGACGCTCAGGGCCCTGTGAAGAGGGCACAGGAGGACAGGCAGCGGCCGCGCGGGAGAAGCCGCCGGAAAGGCAGGAGTGTGATAACCCGCAGGCCTGGCGGGGACGGGAGGACGCGCCCAGACCTTGGAAAACCTTCTCTTTCAAACACTTGCCCCCGTCCGAGCGGCCCAGGCCTTCCGGGCAACAATGCCTGTCCGCCATCCATGCCACAGGACACCTAATCCCGCTGCCCTCTCCTTCCAAGACCGGGCCACGCTCTCCGGACCCGATGGCAGGGGCTCGGGGCGCCCAGGAGCGCCTCGCTCACGCCCAGCCCTGCTCCTCTCGCCTTGGGAGCGTTCCCCTGCGGCCCCGAGCTCTGCACCTCAGGAATGAGGAGATGAAAGGGACCGTCGGGGCTTTTTCCACCAGAGGCGAAAGCATTTTATAGAACGGACTGCGAGTTTTTGTTTCAGGAAATTTCATCATGTCTCCAAGAAGGGGAGGGGAGAAAAAGAGAGGGTGGGAGGGAGAGAGCTAAGTTAATTGGCCTCAGATTTCCTCACCCCCTTTTCATGATGGTAACACGAGGCAGCCCAGGTCAGCCTCAGGTCAGCGACGGTCGGGCTCTTTAGTGCCCCTCTGTGAATACCTCATTTCTGTAATAGTTTTTCCTTTAAAAACAGCTCTGCCTTCTTTGGCAGATGGTGACATTCCATTAGCATATGGAATATTTTTCAAAACACATCCGAAAGCATGTCTCTTACGGAGGAGACTGGGCAAAAGCAAACGAATGTTTGAAAAGTATGTTGGGAACGGCTCAACATTGAACAGAAGGCTCCCGCTCCCCCGCCCCCACCCGGCACCTCCCCACCCTGGCTCCTGGGTTGTTACTGTAACCAAAAAGAGGAGAGGATTTTCCTCCAAATCTCAGTCTGTTGGCTTCACTGTGACCGTCAAGAGTACACAGAGGGTAGCTATAGAGAGCCCGAACCCAGAGGATAAAGAGCACATTCTTGGCTTGGAATGGACATTGGGAAGGCTCAGGGGTAAAGAATCCGCCTGTCAATGCAGGAGATGGGGTTTCAGTCCCTGGGTCAGGAAAATCCCTTGGAGGAGGAAATGACAACCCACTCCAGTATTCTTGCCTGGATAATCACATGGGCAGAGGAGCCTGGTGGGCTACAGTCCATGGGGTTGCAAAGAGTCAGACACCACTGAGCGAATAAGCAAATACATCCAGCCTTTGTGGATGTGGCCCTGGGGGTAGTGAAGGATGCATCTTGTTCATTGAGTGCCTATTGTGTGCCAGATGTGTGACGTGTATTACTGTCTTTCCTGCTGACATCTATCTACCACGCAGCGGGCAGAGGGAGCTCTTGAGCGCACAAGTCGGTCGGTTCACACCCCTGCCCTGCCGAGCACTCTGATGGCTATCCATGGGGTTCAGTTCAGGGTCAAATGCCTTGTTACAGTAGGCAGTGATCCCACCCCTGCCTAGCTCTCCAACGTCGGCTTCCCGCCGAGCTACATGGCTTTCTTTCCAGTCATGATTTCAGCCCTGGGGCCTTTGCACGTGCTGGTCCTTCTGCGTGGTGTGCTGCTCCCCCAGCTGCTCCTATGACTCTCCTCACCGTGCAGGACTCGGCTCACACACCCACTTCCCCGAGAAGCCTCTGAGCGTGCCGTAAACTCGCCCTTGTCACTACCACAGCACGTATTCTATTTACTCTTGAGTAACTGCCGTTTTATTAGTTTACTTGTATTCATTCAAGACATTTTTTGAAGGCCTGCCTTGTGGTAGGTACTGAGCTAGGCAGTAGTGAAACAAATCTCTTCGCCCGCTGGAGCCAAGCGCATGACGTGGGAAGGCCGGTGGTGAACAGATTGTGTTTTTCCTGACTTCCCTGACCAGAAACGCAGCCTTCCGGAGGCCTGTCTGGAGCTTGGTTTGTTCTCTTCACAGACTGTTTTGGGGTTTGGTGATCAGAGGGCTTAGTGACTTACAGTTCAGTGCAGGACTGAACCCCCTTTATAGACCTGGGCACTCAGGCACAGAATAGGAAGTGACTTGCAAGATCACCCTGCCAATCAAACAGCAGAGCAAGGACGTGAACCCAGTTCTCTCTGATCCTGACACTGGATCTCCCCAAGCCCGGCCCAGCCCGCGGCCTCTTGCTGGGTGCCTTGCCCACTGCTTCCTTCTGGCCCATATCTGGGTCCGCTGCCCTCCACACGTCCAGCCCGCCATCCACAACTGCTTCCTCAGCACCGCACCCTCTGCGGGGCTCCTCACAGCACCGTCGTCGCTGTCCGGCTCTCTGAGCCTCCGTTTCCTTGTCAAGATAAGAAGTGAAACAACAGTACATCTGCAGAAGCTCTTAAGAGTCTATTATCCTGCTTTCTGATCAACCAACCTGTAAATTGTGTTCAAGAAAAGTTTACAAAGTAGATTTGATTTCTGTATCTCCGGCCAAATATTAATATCAAGGTCCAACATAATTCCAACGGCTACCTCTTCTCGGGCTATTACTTCTACTCTGCTCACTCTGTTGATCCGAGGATAGAAGCCCAATTCAAACCAGCCTCCTCACAGAAGGGGATTTGTTGGCTTTCCAGGTAGCACTGGTGGTAAAGAATCCATCCGCTGATGCAGGAGACACAAGAGATATGGGTTCGATCCCGGGGTCAGGAAGATAGATCCCCTGGAACAGGAAATGGCAACCCACTCCAGTATTCTTGCCTGGACAATTCCATGGACAGAGGAACCTGGTGGGTTACAGTCCATGGAGCCGCAGAGAGTCAATGCGACTGAGGGACTAAGGGTGCACACATAAGCCCAGGGATGAGGTAGCTTTAGGCACGGCCTCCAAGGATGTCACCTGCTCTGGGGACTCTCCCTGCCGGCCTGGCTCTCTTCCCTCATGGTCTCATTGGAAGACAGGCTGTCTCCCTGTGAGGTGGCCGAGTGGCTCCGAGCAACTGCTGGGGGGCATCCTAGGCTCTTAATATCTCTGGTAGGGCAAGCTCTCTCTTCCTAGAGGGCCCTAGAATTCCTCTCCTTGGCTCAGACTGGGTCATGTGCCCACCCTGAAACCTCTCGCGGTGGTCAGAGGAATGAGATACTCTGACTGTCCAGCCCTGGATCACAGAGCCACCCTTACCCAGGGGTTGGGCTCTGCCTCATGCAAACCACATAGCCTGAGACGGGAAGGGAGGCCGATGCCCAAAGAAAGCCTAGGTGCTGAGGTCCACAAACAAAGCAGAACGGAGGCCGGGCTGACAAAACCCGGGGCCACTGTCCCGCCACTGGGCCTGCATTTCCCAGGGGAAGTGACTAATTTTGCATGCTCTTGAAGGCTCGGCTCTGCAATAACCTCCTTCCTGATCCACTGAGTGAGAGCTAATTCCTCTATGCCTGGACTAGTTTCCCGCCTTGTCACTTTCTCCTTGGTGGTATAGCTATGAATGTGCTCATAAGGGACATCCCTCGTGGTCCAGTGGCTAAGAAGCTACCTTGCAATGCAGGGGACATGGGTTCCATCCTCGGTGAGGGGAGATTCTACAGGCCCTGGAACAACTGAGCCAGCGCTGGACGTAACTGCTGAAGCCCACATGCCTGGAGCCCAAGCTCCGTAACAAGGGAAGCCGCCGTCACGAGAAGCCTGCACACCTCAGCAGAGTAGCCCCCACTAGCGACAGCTAGTGAAGACCCCACACACGGCAACAATCACCCAGTGCAGCCAAAAATAAATTTACAAATGTAGAAACTGTGCATGTTTGAGGACTGGAGAGTGGAGAGGGTGGGAGAGTCCTCTTTGGAGATCAGAGGGTTTGGATTCAATTCTCCTATTTGTTCTTCAGTGATTGGATGATCAAGAACCAGATACTTCTATCTAAGCCCTCCTCCTTCTCAGGCCTGTTCTGAGTGTTCAGCTTGCTGAACCAGCCCAGCCTGGGTTCAGAGGGCTTTTGATTTCCTTCACACCAGGATCCATCCATGGCCATCGCTGTGATCCTAGCCCTGATCGCAGGTACTGATAACTGTGTGCTGAATGAACAGACTTGTGGATTCCAAAACTCTCAGGGTATACAGGAGTGCCTCCCTTTTCGCAGTCCTTGGATTCCAGAGTGAGCACTGTGGGTGAAAAAACATAGCGTCAAAGACGCTTAAACCCTCTGAACTATGGATCCAGTGTAGGATGCGGAGCGTGCGCTCTCTGCCCAGGGCAGTGACTCCGACATCCAGTTAGTCTGAGAGCCGCCAGGCCGGCCAAAGGAAGCGAGTGTTAGTCACTCTGTGTCAGTGTCCGACTCTTTGCCACCCCGTGAACTGTAGCCCGCCAGGCTCTGTCTATGGGATTCTCCAGGCCAGAATACTGGAGTGGGTTGCCTTTCCCTTCTCCAGGGGATCTTCCCGACCCGGGGATCAAACCCGGGTCTCCCGCATTGCAGGCGGATTCTTTATGGTCTGAGCCACCAGGAAGGAGGCAAGAGAAAAGTCTAAATGCAGAGACTCCATCATTCAAATGATGCTGCTCTTAAAGTAACTTTCAGGAGGTAAGAGTGAAGAAAGAATAAAGAAAATGGTAAATCCCAAATTTCATTTTATTTTCTGTGCCACACGGCATGTGAGATCTTGGTTCCCTGACCGGGGATCAAACCCACGCCCCCTGCAGTGGTAGCACAGAGTCTTAACCACTGGACCACCAGGAAGTCTCAGTCCTGAATTCTAAATTTCCTGCAAGGTTCACTCCATTCTGGCTTAACAGGCATCCTTATCCTGTAACTTTAATATGTGCCGAGAGACTTGTTTGTTGCAGAGGGAACAAATGGGGTCATCCATGTAAGGGCACGATGAATTGGGCACAAATTGGGGGTTCAGTGAGTATGACAGAATTGAACCCAAATCTTGCTTGGTGGTCTGACATACAGGCGGCCTCCTGGGTTGTTGCCAAGGAGGTCCTGCCAGCTGCCTGTGTGTCTCGCTGGCTCTCACACTCAAGCCCCAAGACACTGGTCACTGATGCTTAGGTCCTAGAGTCCAGGGTGAAATTAAGTGCCGTGTGATCTAATTCTGCTGCTCCTGCTGCCTCCAGGACGCTGTTGTTGGCAGCAGAATTCAGGCAAGTGAAGTCAGTTTTTCTCTGCATCATGGTTGGCATGACTTCATTAAGACAAATATATAACCTTGACCACCTCCTTCCCCTACAAAAAGTCACCCATCCTTCACATCAAGAGCACTGTGACCTTGTTATTCTATGCACAAGGTTTTGTATTGTTGTGTTTTTGCAGTGCTTTCTGTGTGATTTCTGGGACAGCTGTGCAAGCCCCTGGGTGTGACATTAGCTGTAATGTGTCATGACTGCAGAATCTGTGAAGTCCCAATGGTCCCAGACTCCAAAGATGCCTTGGGAGGCGAAGGGGCTTCTGGCTGAGGACTGGTCCCAG